TCCCCTCCGCTTCCTACCTACCACCTTCCTCGACTCTCGCTAGCTTCTTTCCACGTTTCCGAGAAATTCTCCGATTTACTTCAAGAAACAGTCTTCGAGAAAAGGTAGGTGGAGTGGGTACATGAAACGGGAAAATCTGAGGAAGATCAGTAATCAAAATATTAATAGATAGATATTAATAAGATATTAATAGATAGAATATTAATAGATTAATCAAAAATTTTTTCCTCAGCGAATATGACCTCCTACTCTTCCAGCTACCGGATAAAACCCGCCGTCGCTGGAAATTCTTATTGTACGGACATGAGCTTCACCAAGTTCGTTCTAGCTCCCCCGTCTTGTACGAACATGAGCTTCACCAAGTTCGTTCTAGCTCCCCCGTCTTGTGATAATGTCGTCCGGTCCCCTTTAGACCCATTCGCCTGGTGAAAATTACATTCGGTTTTCGGACTCGTAAGTTTGTTGCTCGGTCTAGTAATAGTCTAGTAATAACATCATCACCGTGGGCGAGATGACAAACGATGGCTTACTCCACTTACATTCCAGGAACCGGGTCCAGAGGATTCAGATCATCCTTGGATCAGCAAAGCTTTTCAGCCCGCCGTTGTGCCAGGCTCACTAGGGAGGATAAAAAGCCAACTAACGTTTTTAAAGGCACATGCGAAACGGGAACCAAACGACCCCTTCGAATCACATCCCCTCCCCCTCTCTGGAAGCTCCTTAGGGGAAGATTCTGTGAGGATCATAATTATGAAGATAGCATATGAATTCAAATCAATTTAGACTACAGTCCATAGCTTCTCAGGACATTAGAGCCATATCGCATCCAGACGGGCACTGAAATCTTTCAGTACGTAGAGGCGAAATGCGCGGTACCAAAAAGGACATCACGTGAGGCAGAAAGTTAGTTTTCAATCCAAAATGTGTGTTTTCTCCTACCAACCTCTCCTCTCTGAACTACCCAATATGCTTTCTTCAAGAATTTTTTAAAAACTAGCTCGCTAAATGGGCTGTAGGCAAACTTGAATGACCAAAAACTGGATATAATACTGCTCACACGCCTTCCATTACCATACTCATCTCAGAACACGTTGCAGTTCGGCCTGGAGGAAGGGGGAGGGGCAGCAATTTTATCCAACAAAGCTTTACAGGCCACCTTGAGGGAGATCTGTAAATTCTTGTGTCGTACCATTCCACAATTTCGCAAGAGTTTACAGGTTACTTAACATGAGCTGACAGATGAACTAGCGTAAATGCGAAATGCCCCCCCCCTAGCGGAAAAATTCAAATGATGACTAGGAGGACCTGTGAAATCACCGCGAAATCATTAATCTGAATTATCATATTCATTTCAGAACACGCCGTAATTCGGCTTGGGGGAGGAAGCGGGAGACTACGGGAGGGCTTGCGAATTCTTGTAATCGAAGAGGTTCACTTCTCCCATTTCATAGCTTCATGACAGGTTAGTAAAATGAACTAGCAAAATGAGGTAGCGAAGGTGCAGGATGCCCCCCCCCTCCCTAAGCCGAACAGCGCCCAGTATACACGCTACCTCGCTATTTTTTATCCGCAGTGACCGTAAAGGCAGCAGCCTTGTTCTCTTTCACTCTAGCGAAAGCAACAGTGATCGCAGTTGGTAAAATAGCGTAAAAGAAAGGAGCGTAAAAAAACTAAATAATACGTAAAAATGGAACTCAAAAATTAGAAAATATGACACTTACAAGCTGGCGTCGTAGAAGTAGATTCCCAGCGAGCCCAGTGACAAGACGAACACTAACACGACCAAGAATCGACCGGTAAGACTCTGACCAGAGATCAACTCTCCAGCCCAATCTTTTGCCTAGAAATCCTCACTCTATGAAAACTCTGGTTTTTCACCAATAAAAAGGAAGAAATAGGAGAAATACGTTGTAAAGCTATCATAACAAGTATAAAAAAAGCGTAAAGAGGGGCTTTTTAGGCTATCACAAGAGCCTAGACTCCTGTTGTTGATCAGCTGAACCTTGAGGATATTTTGGAAGCGGAAACAGATGGCAAATGCCGAAATGTGCTAAGCAGGCCGTAAACCTTGGCAGGGGAACAAATGCTCTGCTCACCTCGGTCATCCAGCCCAGATGTTTCTCTTCCTGTTTGAGCGCTAAACCCTCGAATTCAGTCTTGACCGGGCCAGTTCCGTGTTTGCCATTCAACTGAAATTGTCCATCTCACAGGAATAGCAAGTAAATCGGCACAGCGCCTAACCCCCGTTTGGGCTATCTCAAGGGCCAAGCAGTCACTCACATGGATCGGCACCGTCTCCGTGACTTCACTTCGTCCTCGCGACGTCGTTGACAAAATAAATGAGTGACAATTCGCCACGTAACCACTAGCAACATGGACACACAAAACGTTACAATGCTGAAATGAACATTGTAAATTTCTAAAGCTATGAATCAGTGGAAAAGGGCACTGTTAGGCTTGGAGGGGACATTTTTCACTTTCGCTTGTTCATTCTGTTCGTCTACACTAACTAACAGGTCTCACCTCGGTCAGACCTGTACACTCCTGTGAACCTGCGAAATTGTTCGAGTGAGCCAGCTGTTTTGGAGAAAACTACCATATCCCGAAGATGGAGAGGGCGTGGCGTGCTTGATGTGAAGTTGGAGGCTGCTGCGCCTTCAGTGTGTTTTGGCGCAGTTTAACCATATCTTTTTAAAGTGAAACAGGACAGGTTTCCAAAACTGGATATCCCCGAAAAGCTCTACGAGCCATGTTTAAAGAAGGCAGCGCAGCCACGCCCACGCACAACTACTGGGGGATATGCAGTTACAAGTCTTCGCGAGGGTGGGCTTGTATTAAGCTCAGCCTGGGCAATCATTCGGTGTCCGCACCAAACCGACTGGCGCTAAGAGAAACTAATAAAACCCCAAATATCATCTCGAGGCAAGAAATTTGAGAATGTATCGATATTTCGCTTCACTAACAGATACTGTAGGTGTCTGAAGCACGCGTGTAAAGCGGTATTCGGAGGTCTCAGATGACACTACATGCAATAACCCTGGGGGGGGGGCGCTGTACGCCTTGGAAGGCGCATTTTGCATGTTCCATTGGTTTTTTGGCTTGTTCATGTAAAATAGCAATTCTGCTATTGGTGAAACCTGTAATTCTTCGCTGACACCATGCAGAATGATACATCTGAGAACCACTTCCGATACAGCAGTTCACAAATCATTATACATAAAAGAGGCTTGCACGACTTTGGGCTGGCACCTATTTGTTGCCCCCAACCTCAGTAGCACTAGTATTATCTGTTGCAAATCCTTACGATGCATATCTGATTAAAGTATGCATAGTAAGGCAACAGCGGAACAATGCTACAGATTAGCGCTATGAACCATATTATATAATCATAACAGGTGGCTAGTGCGGATGGGAAACAAAACCAAAATGGGTGCTTAAGGTCGGCATTAATGTTCTATGAACAGTTGGAATCCCTCCCAGCCAATCGTGTAATGTTTTAGCCTAACCAGAAGCGTGCACAATTCGGCTTGGTGGGGGCATTTTTGCTGGTTCCCATCGATCCCGTGCACTTCACAAGAGTTTACACGTCTTAACAGGTGAGACGTGTAAGTTAACAGAAGCAACTGAAGGAACTGGCAAAAGTGCGAAATACCCCTCTCAAGACGAACAAGCCCGAGAAGTGTTCTAGCTACAATCAGCGTGCCGTGTACTGCCGCTATACAGTACTACATGGACTTGATGACGCGCTGATAGGCATGCTCATTTCCTTGTGTATTCCTTAGTTGTGCTCCGAACTGGGCTATTTTGATACTTGAAGGATTCTCTCTGTTTTTGGCACGATGCGCCTTGGGGCAAACAGATAAAAAAGACAAGTAATACTTTTCCCATAGGGCTAAGTGTGGGCGGATAAAGCAGGAAAAGTATGACGTGGAGTATCGAGAGAGCTCCTTTGTACGCACATGTTTACGTAAATTCGCTTATCCCTCCTATATCAAATCCTTGTCTTATCCATATCCCTAGAGCTAATCCCGGGCTATGGCGGAGTCTGCCTATATATGTGCAGCCGTATGTAATCTCTTAATTAGCTATTACACAGTCTTCTTTGCTGCGGATTGGGGCTTGTCGAGAGGGGATGAGTTTGCAGCGGCGTGAGCCCGTTTCTTTTTTTTGGGCCAGCGATAAGACCGTATCATATCATTCGTATCAGTCATTTTCCACCAGCTGCTGTCGTTTATAGGCGTGAACAACAGGTGGAAAACGGGTTGGCGTCGCGCCAAACCCAGACTCAGTGACACGCCCTGTCATCCGCAGCGAAGAAGAGTGTAACTATTCCATATAAGATGAACAAGTAGCGCACAGACTAGAGGTGCCACGCCCCACTTGGCTCTCAGACTTATCTGATAGGTTGAAAACACTGAATAAAACACGAGATGACTTCGGCAAGACCTTGGCTATGCCAGCAAGGCAGTCTAATTCGAAAATAAAGTAAGGGACGTGGCGCATTCCAGGTTCATCCCTTCGATTCGGTTAGCCAGATGGAAAAGAACTGTGGAGATTTGGCTAGCATAGGAATTACATGGTTATTTTACTGTTAACCTACTTGTCATAAGTACTGCCATAATAAACAACAACGAACAACATGTACGTGACGTCATAAGTAAACAAAAATAAACAACATGTATGGGCGGAACTTAATGCATGATATTCTCTCAAATGTCGCCAGGTGAAATTTGAGACACCATCGGCAAATGTTTCACCGAATATTTCACCGATTTTATCCGGTGATACGATATTTTCAATAAT